CATGAACATGACAGGAAACAAAAAAAAATTATGTTGACAATTGTTTAAATAAAGGATTTTTATGCTATATTTTGAAACAAATTATAATGGCTATAAAAAATGATAGAAATGACTTGTATTCCTTTATTTAATTGACTTTGAACATAGTATTCTAATATCAGGTTGCTATCATTTCTTGTGTTTGATATAAATCAATACTAACATGATGGCCTGACAAGTGTGAATACTCCCGGCCTGTTCACAGTCTTCAGCATCCTTTATCCACAAGTCTCTGTTGATTTCCACCATGTTTGCCCTCAGCGAGCTCAAGGCTGTTAGAAAATTATACATGTACAGTAATCAAAATATTTCTTTCCTGTGGTCTTGTATTTAAATATCAGCATCTCAACACAATTTATCCATTTCAGTTAATTTATAAAGTAGATGCCTCTCATTTGCACTATTCAGTGATATTAAAATGACCTGATATTATGAACCTTGTCATATGAAACATGTTTATAAAAAAAAAAGGAAAAATTTTAGACAAATATAATTTATTCCCCATATTATCTCCCTTACCTCTGTCTATGATCCTCTCCACCATGTGATTATTTCCGTTGGCCTCCTCTAGTTTGGCGGCTGTGATCCAGATTTGTCTGTCAGTAGGAATGTTTTCTCTGGCCTTATTTAACACTTTCCTGGCATTCTCATAATTTTCAAGACGGGCTAAAGCCAACCAGAGCTAAAAATCAAGTGATTAAAAAAAAAATCATGTGCATTTAGTATTAATAAATCAAAGATAACTTTAGGGCTTCAACTACGCCAGGTTGACAGTATTTCATCCCCCCACCCCAATGCCAAGAAAAAAAGTAACTACATCATAGAAACACCACAAATACTCATTTAATCATACCCAAAACAAAACACAAATGTAATACATAACATGCCTACCTCTACACTGGTGGGGCAGCACTCCACGGCTCGACTCAGCATTATCCTGGCATCCTCCTCATTCTCCAGTTCTACTGCCTGCTTCCACAGTCTCACAGAATTTGGAATCATCTCCAGTGCTAAAAACAAAGTGAAAATCTAAATCATTTCAACCACATACAATGCATAGGCAAAAGGCAAAACTGATGGATTTTTAAAAAAAGTATAACACTGATTCGGTGCTTAAAAAGCAGGTACAGATATGCCTCATAAGAACTGTTTTCAGTACCTTTCCTGAAGACCCTCTTTTTGGCCTTTGTCTCGGTCTCCAGGTCAGCGGCTTTGATCCACACCCTCACAGCTGTAGGGAGATGTCTAACAGCCTGGGCTATCACAGCCTTGGCCTGGTCACCTGGCTAAAATACAACATAAACTTGATCATTTTCAATTCACTAATTATTTTTTACTCATTTTCAACAAAAGAAAACACCTGAATGCTGTGGACTAAATATACAAATCTAAGACTGTCAGGTATATAACTAATATATTTAATTGCTTTTTTACACCCTGGATCTCTTACCATCAGTCTTGCGGCCTCTAACCACACATCCTCACTTTTTGGACACTCCTCACAGCCTTTCATGATCAGGTTCCTGGCTATCTGCATCTTCCCCGTTACCTCCTCCAACCTGGCAGAGGCAATCCAGGCTGAATAATATAAAATTCAGACACATGCTTACAAATCCACAACCATGTACAGTCAAACCTCTTTATCGCAAACTTGATGGGGCCAAGAAAAAATGTTGAGATAAGGAAGGATTCAAGATATTGAGGATAAAACACAGAATAAGCAGTTGTGACTTTAAAATCACTTTGCAAGGTTTTTGAGATACTGGTGTTCAATATACCAAATTTCAACTGTATAAGCTTTCCTGGAAGATGTATTCTTTGAATGGTAAAACATAACCTACCTGGTGGATGTTTAGGGTTTGTCTCTCTGACTGACTTCAATAAAAGCCTGGCTTTCTTTACATCACTGCAATACATTGTTGAAAGTACAAAATGTTCATGTAAAATACCTTTTATATTTATTATTGGAGAAGTCATTTTTCTTATTTCATATGTATTATAGGAAAAAACTAACTTTTATACCAGTAAGAGAAATATCTGCAAGATACTTGAGCAACAACTGAACAATGTATAAAGACTCCAGAAGGTATAAAAAACAGGATACCCCAATCATAACTATTCTTTGTTGTGAATTAGCAACTGGCACAAAGAATTGGTAGTTAAAAGTTAGTTTATGGTAAGTAAATGTAGTTTACAGAATGTAAATGAAGTTTACAGTATGTAAATGTTGTTTCCAGTATGGAGATGTATTTTACAGTATGTAAATTTAAGTTACAGTATGTAAATGCAAGTTAAGTTACATTATGTCAATGTAGTGTAACAGTATGTAAAAGTAGATAACAGTAAGTAAATGTATGCTAAAGTATGTAAATGTAGATTACAGAAGTAAATGTAGCACAGTATGTAAATGTAGATTACAGTAAGTGAATGCAGTTCACAGTATGTAAATGTAGTTTACAGTATGTAAATGAAGTCTCACTTGATGTCTCCTCCGTGAGATGGCAGCATGGACTGTAAATCTGTCAGGTAACCTTTTGGATCCACCACTGTCTGTCCACTGACAGAATCTGACACCTGTCATTCAAATACAACCCATTAAAAATATTTTTCACAGAAAATTTGCAATACCTAGCCATTAAAAGGTTTAATTAACATGTTATTACATCATAATAGGTATAAGATATTACATTATGCATACAAATAAACACATTGCCAATTTTATTATAGTTTACAAGAGTAAATACAGAGTTTAAACATTTTATAAAGTGAAGGCACCTGTGTGAGCTTGATATCCATCAGTGTGTTTCTAGCCTGGCCAATTTTCTTCATGTCAATATCACCACCAGGTGTTGAGGTACCCAAAGGGGTAATGGCCCCAAAGGGAGTGTTCATTCCACCAAACTTCTGTAAATATTATAAATTTCAAGATTTTAATGTATTTTCAGCTAATTTTATACCAATGATTCACAGCAAAGAATTCAGTGATCTAAGTAGTGTGGATATTGACTCTATAATAACTGACCTGGTCCCTGTCTGATATTGTGTTGGCAGTCCCTGTGCTGGCTGCAGCTCGGGCTAGTACACTGTCTGGCACTGGGGTAAATCTATAAAAATGTATCAAAATATTAAATTCCAGAGTTAAAACATACACATAAAGTTTCATTAATTCAAATTAAATAACCAAGATACCTCACTGCTGAGACTATAAAACTTAACTCTTAATTTCTATTTACTTTACAAAAGTCTTACTTTTCTGCTCGTGCATTTCTCTGTTTCTTGTTTCTGGCATCTCCCACTTCAGGTATGTTTAGCCATTCATCCTCACTGACAACGGCCAAGTCTCTCTAGGGAAATCAAATTTAATTAAACTGTCCATTCATAAAAATTCCTGTCATATCTATATTACCATTTAGTAGCATGACAAATTGATCATTTATTTTTAATGACTGTATACAGGGTTATTTTCACCATCCAAATTTTTCCCTTTTGTATGACCAATTTTGTCCCATTTTAAATTCACCCAACCATGAAGAGGACGAAAGGGGGGGGGGGAGGTTAAATAAAACGAGGGCAAAAATTTCCCTGTATACAACATTTTTTCCTCATTCCTAAAGACTTCTTATGGTCACCCCCTCCTGTTATCCCCCGTTTGATACCTTAAGATCTGAGAACTGCTGCTGAATTTTTGGCCTCTCTTGACGATATTTCTCCAGCTCTTCTTTCAGCTTTTGCTCCCTTCTTTCCCTGCGTTTGTCGTCCATTCTCTTGTCAATTTCCTCATAAATAGCATCAGCCTCTTCGTCGTCTTTGTCGTATGGATCTTTAGAACATAGACTTCCACCATAACCTGTGAACTGATAAGACAGACAAAAATCAATGTTATTTGTAATAACTTGTTATTTAAGTTTTTACTTTTATCGCGATAAGTTAAATACTCATGCATTAGGAGCTGTGTTGCATTTGCTCACTGATTCGTACCTCATCGTAATTTGCATCGTTCAAATCCTCTTCTTCTTCATCATCATTCTTACTTTTCTTTGTGGGAGGAGCATGACGATCATCACTACAATTATGATATTGATTGTTAAATGGTTGTCTTAATCAGGAAGATTTATTAAAACTCTTTATAAACATTTCTGGCATATCAAATTCTCAGTTTCAAACTAAAGAAAGAATTATTGCATTCAGAGAAAGGACAAGATGAGGTTTTAAATGATGAAGTAAGGAAAACTTTTCAAGTAAGCAAATAAGGTGAAAAAGAAAGACCAAAATATTTATCTACATTTTAGCTGAAATGATAAAACTACAAACAGTAAGTCCCCTGTTAACAAAATATATGTAAAATGATTGTTTTAATACTCACGAAATATCATCAATATCTCTGGCTGGACCAATATCAGATCGGGTTGTGAACCCAGTTGCACTAAAAAAGAAAGCAAAAATAAGTTAACATTGGCATTATAAAGAAAAAGTTACACTTACACATGAAATGTATTAAATTCAAAAGGAATGAAAATCACATTATTCAAAGCACTTTAATTTTTTTTCACCTGCAAATGTATGCTTTATATCGTTTATAGAAAGTTTTTTGCAGAGGAAATTCTAGAATTTCATTTTGTTTGCACTGTAGCAAACAAAGCAATTTAGAACTGGTAGATCTATCAGAAGAGAGATATCTTAAGCCGTGCTTTTACGTACCCTCTTCCTAGACCTGGGACATAGCCAAGTGGAGCAGGGAGGCCAATAAACGTTTTCTTTTTAGCACTCACAAGTGACTGCACCGACATCTTTGCGTTTTCTTGACTGGTATCCAACTAAAATTAAGGAACCAGTTTATTTTAGATAAATCATTCTTCATTCATATTGAAAAGTATATTCCTCATTGAGTTACAAAGAAAATTTATCATAAGTCTGTCTCAGTTTGGTGTGGTTTATATAGTAAGTATAATATCTGGTTCATAATAGAATAAAAACTGTAATGTGAAACGGTTGTCTAGAATGCTTAAATGAACGAGTTATTCATAATAAACCTACCCAAACAAGATGGCGAATAACTTGTCGCCAGAGGGAAATCAAGAAACAAATTTATTTTGTCATGTAAAGACAACATAAATTTCACGTGTAAGGAGTGGTTACCCAATGACAAATGCATGTTTAACTTAAAAGATACAACTGACTGATAAGCGGACCAACTTTTAGGCGAGTATATGCATTAATACCACATTTTTCACATTCTTTTTAACTGGTATCTTCCAGTTCCACTTCAAACATTGATTTGCAATTTCCTAAGCGAAAGATCAGTTCCTGTTTAACTTAAATAGCGTTGAAAGTGAGACATTTTCACAGGCTTGTATGTAATTTATGATAAGCAATTTTGGGGCCTTGTTTGCCTTATTTGTAATTCGTAAAACCTGAAAGGGCACTTGAACATGTGTCTTCGAGTTCAAGGACGAGGAGGACTGTAGCAGTTCAGGCTATATAGACCATGGATATTGGCCTGGGTAGCTCAGTGGTAGAGAACATGACTAGTCATGTAGAGGTCCAGGGTTCGATTCCAGGTCCAGTCATATATTTTCTTTATGCATTTGTCCTTTATTAAAACATTTGGATATCAATATATATATATATATTTTAATATCAATTTATCAATATTAATGTGGAAAAATAACCAATAGCATTGTCCACTGTCCCTCAGTCATCAGTGACATCATTGTCGTCTTTATTAATTGTCATTGTTCACTTTTCACATTTTCATCTTCTTCTGAAAAACCATTGGGCCAATTTCAAATAAACTTGCCACAAAGTATTCTTCGGTAAAGGGGATTCAAGTTTATTCAAATGAAGGTCCAGGCCTTCTTTCAAGGGGAGATAAATACAAATTCCCGAACTTAATGACATCATTTAAAAGTCTTCTCAAGAACAACTTTGCTATAAAATATGAAACTTACATGTATGTTGAATCAGCCTGAGCTAGTGTAGAATCAAATCTGTTCAAATTATGACCCCCAGGGTAAGGTGGGGTCACAATGGTTGATCAAAGTGTTACATAGAAATACATAGGAAAAATCTTTAAAAATTATCTTCTTCTCAAAAACAGCAAAGCCACAATAGGTTATATTTATATGGACATATTCTCAGAAAGTGTCAATTCAAGTTTCTTCAAATATCATGACCCCCTCCCTCTGTGGTAGGATGGGGCCACACTCTTACATTTCAACTTTCAATACTGAAATGATTTTTGCTTCTTCTGAGACAAAGTGTTCAGGTGAGCAATGTAGCGCATGGGCCACTTGTTGTCAATTTTGACATATTCAGGAAAAGGTACAGAAATTGTAAAGTTAAATACAATCTCAAACCACCTTCTAAATTTAAATGTACTTTTAAAAAAGGCTAACAGACATCTGTATCTAATTTGACCCATCCATTTTCAGATACAAGGTCATCGCCATGTCCAGGCAATACACACAAGATGTCTTGTGCTGGCAACACTGTGACAAACTCACCAACATCCTGTGTTTTGCTGTCCCCTCTGTGTGTCCCCTTTGTCATTATAACACTGCCCACTCCCCCAGTCGTATACCCCCTTACAAGCTCCCCTCCCCCCTCAACAGAGCAGGGGACTTTCCAGTGTCATTGGTTGTTAAACCAACTTTAGGCACTTTTATAAGGTACAGTACTGTATTTGATTGAAAACTGTAATTTTTTTAAAGTTTGATTTTTATCAAAGTACATGTATTAGATAAATAGAATTTTCACTGCAAATGTTTCATTATTTGAATACTTCTGCTATGTATTATTTGTATGTTTTATATTCTATTCATTGATATTTACAGGGATTATGATAATTCTGTTAACCTTCATATAGGAGTAACAGATACAAATGGTAAGAAGACAATACTGGATTGAATAAAACAAACTTTGATATGATATGATAAGTAACATCATTTTATATAACATCAAAAAATTACTTGAAACTCTGACATTTTAACTGACAATGTTATATACTGTAGTTTATGAATTTTTTAGGGACTGTGTATGATTATGTGTGATATATACTTTAGTTTAAAGTTTATGATTGTGTAGGAACCGTGTATGATTATGATGAGGGTGGTGTACATGTGGGGATGTCTGGTTGGGAGGAGTGTCTAGTGATCCCCCTGTCTAACCGAGGCCTCAACCCACACATCTACCAGGTGTGGGATGCCACACTCCAACATCAAGCCCAGTCTAACATATGGACAAAATCCAAGTAAGAGAACAAAAAATTGCGAAATTGGATCACCTTTTAAATTTCATCCCCAAGTCTAATTTTCTGCTCTAGCTAAATGTGCATTTTTTCCAAGTTTGGAAGGATAAAATTAGAAGATAAGATTTATTTCCTCAACAAATTCATTTTTACTGATTATGAAATGTAAAGGAACATGAATTTACTATTCATTTAATAAGAAGAACTTGTAGTCCAAAGTTCAGATGGATAATAAATTACAGCAAAACTTGTTTAATGCGAACATGGATATTGCGAATTCATGGATATAACGAAGTTATCTTGGATCATCCCCAGCTAAATTTTACGAATTTCTTATATGGGTATAATGAATTACGGATATAGCTAAGTAATTTCAGAGGTCCCAGGGACTTTGTTATAACTGAGTTTTACTGTATACTAGTACTTTTAAACATTTGATTTCTTCTTGCAGATACATTGAGGACAGTCACAACTGCTTTGACTTTGTTATATACTTTTTAAAACAAGTAGGATTCAGCAGAGAGAATCTGTCTGCCGAGAGCAGAAGTTCATTAACCCATGACATTATACTTCCCCAGATGTCAAAGGTCACACAGTTCATTACATTGTACAGGAACGTGGAGAGGAACTCATTTGTGTGTCAAGATGTCCAGACCAAACATCTCACCAAATAGGATGTACTCATGTATACCTCATTTTATTGTATAGATACTATGATGCAAAGAATAGTATATTTGGGTATAGCCTCTTTGATACAAGGAATATTATATTTTGGTTGTGGATTTAAGTACCGAAAGACGCAAATCTTAATGTTCATTTAGTATTATTGGGATTATCAAGGTTGCATTGACTGAAGACATTTATGGATCTTGCATGGTGACTCATATATGACATGCATGGTGGCTCAATTTGTAGAGTACGAATGCAAACTTAATATAGAACGAGGCAGATTCAAAGTTAACAGCATTATCTCGTAAATGCAGCTGTGCCTGGGTGAATTTCAAATAGGAAAAACTGTTTTGCAATGAAATAGTGTGAAAAGGGCAAAAATTAGATGGAATGAAAATAATCCTTATGCAGTATTTCATATATTGGGAACTCTTCAATTCTAAAATGAAAGGAAGATTCCAAAACATACTAATTTTATGGGTAATAGTATCAACATTTCTGTTTGAATTTGTCTGAATTACTCACCTCTCTGAAGATGAGGGAGAGCAGCAATTGTTTTTATATTAAATTTATGATGTGTTTATTTCTGTGATATTTTGAAATAACTTACAAGTTGTTGACTTGTTTTAACATGTAATAAAATTTGTGCAATAATCATGATAATGCTTCAATGTACTTGGAACTAGTGGTTTTGATTAATGGAAATATTGAAATTACTGCTTAAAGTGTTTATAAAAAGAATTTTTAGTGAGTAAACATTTCATTTGCTGGTTCTTTTATGTAAAGAAATATTGATCAAACATTTGAAACAAATGGGTTAAAATGTAATACTTGCTATTGTTTTGAAGGAAATCAGATCTTCTTCAAGCATGCCTTTTATATGCTTTATGAATGCTTGAATAAAAAATAAATTGTTTAGGTTTTTGATTGTCAGAATTAATATACAAGCATGCAGATGCAAAGAGGAGGCAGTTAATACATGTAGCCTAAATTTATGACCCCAAAGACCAGAGATTGTCCAAAATTTTACTAAAAAATATTTTTGTCCCAAATTCTAACTAGTAGTGTTTCTATCGCCGAAATATGGCTGAAATATTGCAGACTCGGCGTTAAACAACAATAATCAATCAATCAATCAGTAGTGTGTCTATATTACAAAATTTGAACAATCTTGCATTGATTCGTCATTACTTGATCGAACATGAAGGAATAGTTTAATAATCTGGGTTTCCATATCGATATAGCTAATCATACTTGCGCTGTTAACCTTCTAAGGAAGATTTTTAAATATTTTTTCTCTACATACCATTTTGGCCCCATCTTACCTCGGGGGTAATGATTTGAATAAAATTGAATCTAAATGAAAACTTTCAAGACATTTCTTTTCCTATGTTCTTTTAAAAGATTTTTTAAAATTCAATATAGAGATGATTAATTATCACAAATCGAGCTCAAAAACCCATTGAAAATAAAAATACAAAATGGGAGCAGACCAAAGACGTATTTCTAAAAAAAAACCGAGATGGGATAAGGTGCTACGAAGGATTAAGTATCCAGTGTCGATCGGTCACACCCGCTATGTGCTCGTTGTCATGTTCGTTTATACGAAAAAAAATCCATAGACAATTCAGACGTAACAAATGTACGAAAAACGCCATTCAGCATCTGTTAGGCTATTGTTCTATATAGAATAGAACATAAAATTTACGCATTGTTGTCTATAATGATGAGATTTGTATTTTGCTACTTAGAAAAGAAATGTTTTTTAAAAGTTGGTCACAACATTTATCATCAAAGTAAATAAATTACTTGCTATCTATGCCTTTCTCTGTAGGAAAATATCCAAATATGAAGCAGGTTTCTCAGATCCCTTGATGTCTTTTTATCAAGTTCAATGATAATTTAATTGATACACTAATTTATGGTTATTTTTAGACAGCAAAGCACCCCTTACAAACCATTGTTCTTTACCATTGGAAGACCAATAACAATAATTTCTACAAATTGATACTTAATATCCTAATGACCTTATTGACCTAGCCTAATTAAAATATTACAAATAATTAATGTTTGGCGTACTTGTCATGGCCATTTATTCACAATTTTTTCAACAAAACAACAAAATATGCGCCGATCTTCAAATCGATATGGCAGCATATACACAAACAACTCAAAGCAGTAGAAACACCACCTTGACCCAAGGGACCTGGAAAAAACAGTGCCCCATGGAGGTGGCATTCTCTGCAAAATTCTGCCATTAATATAGTTTTTATACCATCACTACACAAAATTCTTTAAAGTCACTGGCGCATAAATTCTCTGTTCTATCTCGAGTCTTTGTAGATATGCATACGATCAATCATCTTATGGTCCATGACGCTGAAAATATAAATTTAAAACAGCAGCAGAAATTTTGTTCTACACACATCAAAAACATTAAAATACAACTGAAGAGTAATAAGCTCATCAATTTATATACAATATTTTAACATCAATTAATTCTATAAAAAATTCTTCTAAGGCCAAGCATTTCTGCAGAAGTTATAACTTGGAGAGGGTGGGAGGGTTCTTCAGTTAAAATTTTTGGTACCAGCAGCTTTGTTGTTCAACAGGAAAAGGAAGTTTACCTTGCGCATGCCCAGTTGTATAAATGTGACAAGTAAGAGTTGTCTATCTTTCTATAGTCAATAATTATGTGCTCAAAATAACCTAGTTTATCCAGAGGAGATAAACTTTATTATTTTTAGACAGCAAAGCACCCCTTACAAACCATTGTTCTTTACCATTGGAAGACCAATAACAATAATTTCTACAAATTGATACTTAATATCCTAATGACCTTATTGACCTAGCCTAATTAAAATATTACAAATAATTAATGTTTGGCGTACTTGTCATGGCCATTTATTCACAATTTTTTCAACAAAACAACAAAATATGCGCCGATCTTCAAATCGATATGGCAGCATATACACAAACAACTCAAAGCAGTAGAAACACCACCTTGACCCAAGGGACCTGGAAAAAACAGTGCCCCATGGAGGTGGCATTCTCTGCAAAATTCTGCCAAATGAACCACAAAACATATTTTTTGTGGGTCATCCGCCAACAAATCTAGGCGGTCAATTTTGCATTCACCAATACAAATACATATTTATCAATTTAACACTCGACCAGTAATTGTATACAATTCAATTTTCAAATATGCAACTTCACAACTTCAAGGATTGGCCATGACAAGACTTAACAAGTACATGTGGGAGTAGTAGGATAAAATCTGTCAGTGGTTGACAAAAACACCCCCAGAGCATTTCTTAAAGAATTCACAAACAAGTCATTACCCAAGTCTGACAAGTGTACACCATCTTTGCGAAAAAGGGCTACATGTCTTCTTAAAATATCAGGATGTTTAATGGAGGCCCCACACATTTTCTTAACAACAAAAGTAGCAAGTGCAGAATTGATTCTTCTTCTCCAATTTTCTCCATCATTGTTAGAAAGACATAAGGTCCAATTACTTCGTGGTAAAATATGAGACCAAACAATAACTGTCTTTGGCATTAATTGTGAAATATTTACAATGGTAGATTTCATGCACATTTGTAAACCCTTCAAGGTATTATGCGGATTACCAATATCATTGCCACCACAGTGTATTACTAGGATTGTTGGTGGGTTATTATCTTTTAATTTCTTTTGGATAGTTGGATAAAGCTGTGACCAAACCATACCCCTTATTCCATGCCAAATTATCCTATGTGATTCAAATCCCAGGTTGTTAAGCATTCTCTGTTGAGCATATTTCTGAGCCCAAAATATCAAAGATGAACCAATTATCCATATGCAATCTGAAATGATTTTGAACAAAATAAATTTGCATCTAACTTATTAAACAATTGGCCTTATATATGACTTGTAGGCAGCAGAATTCCATCTGCCAATGGTTTTGATTTCAGCTTCGCTCATACCATTTAAATACAGATGTGTGGCCCCACCAATTCTAAAAGAATGAGATTTAAAAACCGATGTGTTTATATTCAAAAATGATAAACATTTATTGAGCATTGTAGAAAACTGATACTGAGTCAAAGGCTTGGAGTTGAAATGCACAAAAAATTTTGTAGTTGAAATTGTCTGACGCATTGCAAGAAATTTCTGCAGTATTGTAAACAAAATTAATGACTGGGCATGCTTTGGAACTTTAACTGCTGAACCCCTGTGCATTTGATCAGTCTTAGAACTTTTAATCAGTAGACTAACATGGTCTTGTAATAACTGAACACTATCAGATTGAAGGTCTACTACTTCACTGACTCTAAGCAATGCAAAAAATGCTACTGAATAGGCACATTGAAATAATGTTGCCTCGTATAAAGAATGTGCAACATATGGCAAGGTATTTATGATACGACCTAATAAGTGCAAGGTAATAGGCCTTCTAATATCACTAGACACAGTCAACTTTTTGTAACCAGTAAGCAGTTTTTTAATTAAAAATGACTCCACAGAATTTGGCCATCCATGAATGTTTATAAAAAAGCTCAGACCAGACAGATAACACTTGACGGTTGAAAAGGCACATTTTTTCTCTGACATGTGTGCAACAAAATTGATGACATGGTCAACAGGTGGAGGCCACAATTGTGGAAAAAAAGAGTTATCTACCCTAAATTTAATAAAGGTTTGAATGCCCTGCCTATAAACTTTGTTTGTATTGTCCGAAATGCTAGCATCTACCAGGTTCTCTACAGTTGATGAATAATTTGCCAAAATTGCATAGGAACTGGACAAGGATAAGGCCGAGCCCCAGGAGCCAGCTGATGGAACCTCGAAAACTGAAAACGAGAAAGAGCATCTGCCTTATCATTCTTAAAACCTTGAATATGTTGACATTTGATTTGAATATTATTCTGCAATGTTTTGAGGACCAAGGCTCTCAACAAAACCATAACTCTCTTATTTTTTGACGTTTTGTTGTTAATTATGTGAACAAGTGCTAAATTGTCTACATGTAATAGCAATTTATTAGAAGCTAGTTTTTCTGCCCAAATAACAATACCTAACAATATTGGAATGAGCTCCAACAAAGTAATATCCTTCTTTATCTCCTGAGACCAACTTGCTGGCCAAGCTAACACACTCAATTCATCGCCAAAAACAACACCACACCCAACCGACCCTGAACTGTCTGTATAAAATTGCAACATATCACTATCTGACCAATCTACTGATGGAAACCGAGTTAGTCCATTAAAATTTTGCAGAAATACAACCCACATTTGAAGGTCCAACTTAATCTCATTAGATATTCTAATCAAATGAAAAGATCTATCAACACCTTGTAGTGCCCCGTAAATTCTCCTACAAAATGCCCTACCAGCCGGTAGTGCTTTTACAACAAAGGCAAGTGAACCAACAAGCGATTCTAATTCTTTCTTTGTTACTTTTTTACTACACTGAACATACTTTATCTTTTCCAACAATTCATCCACTTTTTCTTTTGGAACAAAAATTGTCTCTTCAACAGAATCTATTCCTAACCCTAAAAATGTTAATTTTGTACAAGGACCTTGAGTTTTTTCTGGTGCAATTGGAACTCCTAAAAATTGACTCAGTTCTTGAAAATGATACATTAATTCTCTGCATTCACTAGAATTCGCTGATCCAGCAAAAAAGAAATCATCTAAGTAATGAACAATGCCATCCTTTTGTGACCTCTGTTCTAATTCCCAATGTAAAAATGATGAAAATTTTTCAAACAGTGAACAAGATACTGAACACCCCATTGGCAAACACTTGTCAATATAATATGAATTATTAAACTTAAAACCTAGCAGACAAAATTCCTGAGGATTGATTGGTAAAAGCCTAAATGCACTAGAAATATCCATCTTTGCCATAAGGGCCCCTTTTCCTTTGTTTTGAATTATGTTAATTGCATCATCAAACGAAGCATAGCTGACAGTACAATCTTGTTGATCTATGTAATCGTTAACACTATCACCATAAGGATGTGAAAGATTGGTTATCATACGCCATCCACCTTGTTTTTTAGGTAATAAACCTATTGGGCTACATCTTAAATTTGATATTGGGGGGGCTGAAAAAGGACCCAAAACCCTACCTAATCCAATTTCCTTCTTAATCTTTTCTTCTAGAAAACTAGAGTGTTGAATTGCAGACTTCATATTTTTATATTCAACCCTTACTCTAATGCCCTGATAATTTAACAAAAACCCTTTCTCAAAACCCTACCCTACTATGTTGGCAACTTTTCTGTCAGGATAATTTATTAATAATTTGTGAAGATTGTTGGTTTTAATTGGAGAATGGCCTAAATCCCATAACTTATAGATAGTTTTGATTGACCAAAGTTACTTCCCGTTGGTCGCCATACTGGAGGTCCAAACGCTCATATTCCTTCATTGTTCAACCAATTTCAAATTTTTATATTTGCTATTCTGAATTAGAAATCATTATTTTTCTGAAGTATATAAATTTTTTGGAAGCCTCTTTTATTTAAAAAAAATTATTTGATAAAGATTTTCCACCAAATATTTCTGCTATAGTTTCTTAAACTTGGTAAGACAAAGAGGGAAAATCACTTCGACCTCCAATATGGCGGCCAACGGGAGGTAACTTTCGCTAAATTCAGGCCTATCGAAAACTATCTATTGTGTAGGTCGAATTGCTCGCTGTGGGAATCTTGGGCGGAACTGCTGTTGTGTGGGCCTAGACTGGGGGAATTGTTTGACATTGTTATTCTGGGAAGATCTGCAATGTAAAGAAGGATGTGAACCATTACATTTCACACAAATATGCAAAAACTTGCAATTGTGTTTTTCGCAAACACCCTGAAAATTGTAAGAGTAACATTTAAATTGTTTGGGGGGATTCTGACTATAATTTTGTACAGTGGGCTGCATATAAAACAACCAAAGTTCAGCATCAACCGAACCCCAGTTAAGATTTGAATCAAATGATTTTTTCAGCCTAAACTGGATGTCATAATCCCTCCAACCATAAGACGTAGGTGAACGCTCTGCACCTTTTCTAATTGTTGCCATATAACGAAATAAATTTATAGCTTGTGCAGAGTGCTTGGCGCATTAAATTGAGGCAAAAATTAAAAAGGCATCAGTCCATTGTGAAACAGACATAATTTTTTCATCTTTGTACTTAGGTTTAACCTGAATTAAACCATCAAGATAAACAATATGATGCTGTATATCTGAAACTGGTTCTTTGATCAACAGTTTACTCAAAGCGACATACTCGTTATTCCAAATTTTTTCTTTCAATGTTTGAGAGACATGAGCTCCAAGCATTGATGCTACTGTAACAGGAAAGGAGAAAATGCATTGGAATAAAATTGGGACCCCTGTATCTCTGTCAGGTGCTCTACCAACTGAGCTATCCAGGCCGATATCCACGGCCCAAACCATTACATTCCTCCCTCCTTAAAGGTCTTCGCCCTCGAAGACACAACCCATAGAGATTGATTAAGGACTTTCACCTGCAATTCCAAAAACACGGCACCAAATCTGTAACAGGAAAGGAGAAAATGCATGGCTGGACCGGGATTCGAACCCGGGACCCCTGCATCTCTAAAAAGGTGCTCTACCAACTGAGCTATCCAGGCCGATCTACGGCCCAAACCATTACATTCCTCCCTCCTTAAATGGTCTTCGCCCTCGAAGACACAACCCAAGTTCTTATGTGCTCTGGCAGGACTTTCATGCAAGTCCAGGGGTGGTCAACGGCACCAAATCTGTTTAACAGGAAAAAAAATGCATGGCTTTTTTTTTTCGAACCCGGGACCCCTGCATCTATTAGTCAGGTGCTCTACCAACTGATATCCAGGCCGATCTCCACGGCCCAAACCATTACACTACACTCTGAAAAGGTGTAGGCCTATCTAATTCAACCATGCAATTTATACCTGTTGTAGTGCTAGTTGTTGGCACAGGCAACTGCGGCTCCATCTGTTGGGTGGGTACAGTCTGCACAACCGGAGTTGGGATGTCTGCAGTCTCGTAACAGGCTGTAAATTGAACAAGCGATTCTTGGCTGACCATGTAATTGACATAGCTGCCTGGGAATAATGACTGGTGACTGATGTCGGTATTTTGGGGTCAATGGACGTCGACGCTACTGTGGATGCTTGGATGGTCACCGTGGAGGCTAAAAATACTATGTGCCGCAGAATCCTAGATACTGGGCGGGCATATGGGCTATTGGCCTTCGATGCCCTGGTTTTATTGGCTCTCAACATGGTTTGACTTTCTCTTCGTGATGCCTTAGATGAAAGTAATTTTCTTCAGTTAAAATTTTTGGTACCAGCAGCTTTGTTGTTCAACAGGAAAAGGAAGTTTACCTTGCGCATGCCCAGTTGTATAAATGTGACAAGTAAGAGTTGTCTATCTTTCTATAGTCAATAATTATGTGCTCAAAATAACCTAGTTTATCCAGAGGAGATAAACTTTATTATATCTAATTCGAGAATTTTCAGTCATATAGAGACGTCAAATGCTAACTAACGTTTTTCATATAAATCGAGGCCATTATTTACACACATTGCATTTCAGGTTTTTCTCGTTCATGACAAGGAGCACACACGGGTGTGAGCGGTCAGTAGGGGATGCTCATTCCTTCATGGCACCTTATCCCATCTTTGATGTTTTTGGAGATCCGTGTTTGCTCTGCTCTAGAATTTTATTGTTTAAATGGGGGTCCATCCATCTATGACTCATTAATTGGACACTAATACAGAATAAGTAGATAAAAGCATCGAAGACTATGTCTTTAAAAACAATGATTGGAAAGAGCTATAAAGAAAACGATGACTGCCCATCTATGATTACACTATCAGCAATGATGCAAAATCTAAATATAAGCGTTGAGGACTATTTATGACCCCATAAATAGTAAGGATAAAGAAAAACAAGATCGAAGCTATGAGGACTGGCAATGAAAACCTAGTAAATAGCAATGACGATGAACTAGACAAAAAGATGAGAGCAGCAATGGGGGTATTAGAAAGAAGCTATGAAGAATGTTCGTATTTGAAAATATATGCCGAAATAAAGAACAACTAGAAAATAAGCTGTCAGGACACCTATGACGATAAAATATGAAGAATTACTTAGGCAGCATGGAAAACTGTCGGCGACGCCATAATCAGTCATATTATTGATTGGTTTAACTTCCATCTCGAGATGGAATAGGTAAGGTTTTGCTCTGTTTGCCCCCAAAATTGACCTCCTCGAATTAAAAGTATTCCACAACAGTGCTGAAAATGACTGTTTTTGAGCGCAGAAAGGCTCCACGCTTAGCTCTTTCATCGCGGCAACAACTGCCTTATTTTTATGATATTATAAAAGACGAAAATTACCAATTTATTAAAATATATGCATAACACTTCAGAGTCAAGACTAACGGAAATTTTGCACTCAAAAACTTATTCTGCAGAAATAAACATTGTTAAACTCATTCAAAAATACTTTAATGAATTGCTCGCCCATTTCCTGAGCGGAACTGGAGGAGTGGTAGAACTGAATGTAAACTGTACGAGAACTTGTATATTTTTGCTTGTTCTTTAAAATAAAAATAAAATATCAACTCTATAATTAGATGATAAATAATTACATGCCCTGTATTATTAATCAGTACCAAAACTTAAGCATGACTATGTTATTTTCCGACACCATATTCATCCGATTATTCTTATATATTATATATTTTTTCTGTATTAATTTCCTGTTAAGTAATTTATAGATAACTGGGACTAATGTTTTGTCCCAAATACCCCCACAATGCGTGACATTTAAAACAGGACTGTTCAATAAATAATGTCCTTGGTGCTTGGAAAGAAAAAAAAAACGCTCTTCAATAATCTAGATATTCTTTATTAATTGAAACGCATGCCCGTAACATTTTTATCCAATTTCTCATTGTTTTAGAACACATTTTTGAGTACGGCCCTTCGTAAACTGGAATATGGCAGACTCTATATGATTTCCTGGACTTCTTCTCTCTGAAAGGTGTTTTTTTTTCAAGTTTGGAAAATGAAAAAAGTCAATGGGTGAGAGATCTGGTGAATATTGTTGGTGTGACAAAACATTAACTTTCTGTTTATCCTTTACTCTTCATGGCGTTTGGGGTCGGACGCTGTCAATAAGAAATTTTATGTTGTTGATTCCTGATTCTGGTTCCATTATCTCATAAACCTTTCGAGTTTTGCAAAAAAAAAAAAAAATGCTTTCTAGCTATAGACTTCTCCAGAAATTGACCTGCCTCCCCGAATAAGAACTGAAACAACAAGACCGCTAATATTTCAGAAAATGGCATATAAAACTGTTTTTGTGCTTTTGCAATTTTTTGCTCTTCTCAGACCTTGGTTGTTTTTGTCAAGTGAATCTTATTGTAAACTTGTTTTGAGGGGTTAAAGCAAATGGATTCAAGTTTCATTATCTGATTGAATTAAAGACAAATGTAAATATCTTAAATTTTTTAATTTTTAAAGTAATTGTTTAGATTTTCTTACACGCTGTCGTTTTCACTCATTTTTCGAGTACTAATCTTTATTACTGTCAATTGTTTCTTTAAAACAGTGAAAACTACCCCCGAAATGACGCCTATCAATTTTGCTATGTGTCTTAGAGTCAATCAAACATCAGCAGTGATAATTTGTTGAATTTTGGCAAAGAGTACATTGGTTGTTGTAAGTCCTTGTCACCAAGAACGGTGCCCGTTTTTAATGCCCATTGTATCATTTTTGTTTATTGAAATCCACCTACTCATGTGTCTATAAAAGAGACATTAGTTGCTGTAAATTTCACATATTTCAGAGAATATTTCTTTAGGATGAGGTTAATGAGTTTTACAACACCTTTAATGAAGCGTCTAATTTCACTCTAGTTTACTGATTCTTTACCATTCATTTTCAATGCAGTGTTTCGAATAGCCCTTGTTTTCCAGTTTCTCACAAAGAAACTAAGTGATGAAAAGTGGTCACATAAACTTTAATCAATTCATCAAAGATTAAATCATGAGAGAAAGTCAAGCTTAATATCATATGATTCCTAATAGGCTATGTTGCATGACACAGAGCTCAGGACATTTTTTATTGAACAGCCTTTGTAAAGATATTAACAAATTCTGATCTATTTAAAAAATCCCATAGATA